GCTTGTCAGAGTGTTGGAGCTGTCGGCCGAGGCAGCTGCCGCCTCACCCCATATGCTGCACGCCTGCCTGCAGAATGTGGCCTGGTTTGCGTGTCTGTCTGCCGTCAGGAACACACAGCGGGAATTCGGGTGTCTGTCTGTGCACAGATGTGCATGCAACAAGAACATGCCAGCACATGCTTGCACCCATCCAGGAGCACCCCACCTACCTCATGTAACCTCTGTGGACCTAACACATGTTTTGGTGGCCCTCGTGACCTGCACTAGCTCGGATGACACCATGCTCTCCAGGAAGCCAGGAGCTGCTGTTCCAGTCCTACTCCCTGCAGACCTCTCTTTGAAGCCTCTGTTGCCCCATCCCTGGTGACAAGATTCTAATCATGACCAGCTGTTCTTTCAGTGAAGGGAGATGAGGGCACCGTTCATCGATGTCAGTGAGAGGCTTTGTCTCCTGTCAGTGCAGAGGGTGGGTTAGAGGATGGGCACTACAGAGCCAGGCGCTGTGCCGGCCAACAGCTGGGTGGATGCTGATACAGGAGTGGAGGAGGGGAACCAGGGAGGGGAGAATTGAGGGGGCCCCCAGAATGATAGCCTGTGTGTGTGACCTGAACCAACTCCATGCTCTTGATAACCCTGAGGTGTTTGTGCTAGGAGCAGGGTGAAGAAATGGCTCAGAGGCTGAGTGACACACCTCTCATATGAATTACTGACCCCCTCGCTGAGATCAGAAACCTGTCATCACTCTAGACAATTCCCTTCTGCCGGCTGATCACCTGTCCAGATTCATAAGCATGTTTGCTTTCTGAAGTTCTCCCTGGCCTGTCTTCACCTCTCACCACCGCTGCTCTCCCTGTCCTGGCTCTGGTCGTTTCCTCTATGGACCATGAGCAAAGCTTCCTTGGAGAGATGTGGCTCTTAGCCTGTCCCCTCACAGCACTACCTCTGCTGCAAACCTGAGAGGTCCCTTTTCACCAGGAGGAATCTGGGTTCTCAGTTATGTCCTAGTCACACCCTCTGCAGACCCTCACACTGTGACTTGTAGGTCCTCTACCTGAGACACTGTTTAGCTCTCACTCCACCAAATTCACTTCCGGTCTCCACATCTCCTCCTTCCTTCTCTCCTCCCCGCCATCCGTCACCCATCCTCCCTGAGCCCTCTGGCTTGCTTGGTTCTTTCCTCTTTGCTCGGCCGTGACCAGAGTGGGACAGGCTGTGTGCTAATGAACAGTTTCCTTTTCTTTTTCTCTTTCTTTTTTCTTTTTCTTGACAAAGTCTCGTTTTTTCGCCCAGGCTGGAGTGCAGTGGTGCAATCTGAGCTCACTGCAAGCCACGTCCCCCAGGTTCAAGAGATTCTTATGTCTCAGCCTCCCAAGTAGCTGGGATTACAGGCGTGTGCCACCATGCTGGGCTAATTTTTGTATTTTTAGTAGAGATGGGATTTAATCATCTTTGCCAGGCTTGTCTCAAACTGCTGGCCTCCTGCAAACTTTCTACTTTAAACTAAAGCACTTCTCATATTTTATTCTTAAATTTACTCGCCTCAGCCCCCAAAGTGCTAGGAGGCATGACCCACCTCTCCCAGCCATAATGATCAGTTTCTATGTGACCCTGCTCTGCCATGAGCTTCTGGGGACAGCAGCAGGTCGTCCTCATCTTGGGTCCCTTGTTCCCAGCACAGATTCTTGCAGGTGGGAGGTTCTCTGTGAGTGCTGGCCACCGAAGGTGCTCACGAGGGAAGGGATGAGTTGCTCATAGAGTAGCCGAGGGTGTGGTGGCAAGGCCAGGGGAGTCAACCAGGAGATCTTTGAGGAGGGACGGTGCGGAGGAGGGATGGTGTGGTGGAGGGGCTTCCCCACAGAGGGCGCTGTCTGAGACTGGGGTTGGGAGCCCGTCACTCTTCCCTCCTTGCTCCTCCCATCTTGGGGAGTAGGTTAACAGAATCCTGAGACGGAGATGTGCTGGCACCCTGCTGCCTGGCTACCTCCCCTCCACCTGTGTATCCTTCCTTCTCTCCTCCCCGCCATCCGTCACCCATCCTCTCATGCAGAGTTTATCAAGGCATCTGTTCCAGACCAGGCACATTACTAAGTCCCTAGAGCCTGACAGTTGTGGGCAACTCAGGACAGGGCCCTGGGGCTTTTAGGCACCAAAACTCCTTATTTCCTGCTTCTTCCTTGATTCCCCTTGAGATGGGTCTGGAGAGCTGGGGAGGTGGAGAGGGCAGCCCAGGTGGTGTGGGTGGGGTGGGGGTAGGATACAGACTGTGCCTACCTGAGCTGCCCGCATGTGCTGTGGATCTGCTTTCTTTCAGTTCAAGACAACAAAAGGGCAAACATGTCTTTAGGGAGAAAAACAAGGACTTGATCCAGTTGGAGGAGAAACTCACATGGAAGGAAAGTCAGGCCTCATGTGCACTGTCAGGACCAGGTGCAGGCGCAGGGCGGGGCGCCACGGCTTCTTGAGACCTTATTGGGCCTGTTCTCTCTCGCTTCCTTTGTTCTTCAAATGGCTCGCTTCCATCTCCTATGCCTCTGATTTCTGATCAATGTGCCCTCTGATCAAAGTGCCCTCTGATTTCTGAGCTGCTTGCTCTCTCCCTGCCCCGAGGGGCCCGTGGCTGGGTGTGACACAAGTTTGGTCCCCAGGAGCCAGGGAGGGCCTGCTTGTTTCTGAGGGGACAGTGAGGGGTGTGGCATGGAGCTGCTGCTGGGGGAGCTGCAGACAGCCTCGGGCCTGCCCTCCCTGGGAGCTGCCACCTGGGTAGGGGTCAGGGCAGCTCTCCACCCTTCCCCACCGCAGTGCCTCCTGGGTCCAGGAGGAAGGGCCATGCAAAGGGCGGTGGACATGGGGAATGAAGTGGAGAGAAGAATCAGTGCAGAACAGTGGCTGGAAGCCTGGCTGACCATGGAATTCCACAGGAGACTAAACAGCCTCCTGGGCCTGCTTGGGGTTTCCAATCCAGTGGGTCTTGGCTGGGGTCAGCTCTGCTGTCTGCCGCAGGAAGCCATGACCCCTGTTTGGTACCCACTTACTAGGAGTCATGAGGGCTGAGCTGGCTCTGCCTGATTGGTGAGAATGAAGGAGAGAATGAGTAAGAGCAGGCGAGCCCTGGCTCCTCCAGCTCTGAGAGGAGCAGAAGCTGAAGGTTTCTGGAAAGCACTTGTCCTTAGGGCGGAGAATCCAGGCTCCCTCCACGTGGCCTCCAGCACCACAAGCAGGGCCTGAGGGTGGTGCACACCAGAGGGTGTCCCTGGTTTCCTGAGCTGGGTGGAGAAAGCACAGGACCAGGCAGATGGGCCTTCCTGGCGCAGTTTCTGCCGATGAGTCTCTGCTCCCCATCGCTACCCTTGAAACATGCCACTTTTTCCCCAGAAAACAGCAGGATTGATCCTGTTATCCCTGCTGCATCCTGTATCACCTTCCTCATGGGACATTTGGAGGGGACAAAAGGATAGGACCACGAGCATGACCATCCTCAGTCTGCCTGCCTGTCCCTTGCCTGCTATGTGGCTTCGGGCAGACACTCAGCTTCTCTGGACCACTGTTTCCTCATCCAGGACATGAGCCCTGCAGAGATCCTTCCCCTGGGACTGGGCCCTGAGCTCCGTCCCGCAGCCTTCCAGCAGGGAGCCTTCCTGGCCCTCACAGTTTCTCCTCGCCTCTTCTGGGTGCCTGGGATTCTGCTAGCCTCAGACTCCAGACTGTGGGAATGGTCACCTTGGAGGGTCCTGCCCCGCCAGCACCCAGGGCCACTCTGCTATTTTTATCTGCCACTGGTTAGTCTGTATCGTTGTGTAGGCAGCCTCTCGCTGCAGTTTTGCCACAGAGTGTTACCAACATGAGCTCAGATGGTGACCTCACCGAGTGACCTCAGTCCAGTGGAACTGCCCGCCAGGCACATGGAATTTCAGTTTCCAGTAAAGAGCATATTCTCATTATTTTTAGGAACTTGAAAATGGCTAACAGGCATCAGCAGGGATTGGATGCCGGTTAAAGTAACTTGTTGAAGTGAACTCAAGTGTGTTTACTTACTGGCAATAACGCTGACGATGCTCAGATCCTGAGCATTCTGCTCCCTGCGTGTCTGCAGATCCACCCGTAACCAATGCTTGGGTCAAAACTAAAGTACTCCCGCACCCTGGAAGCTTCCGTCCTGTGCCGTCCTGGTTTCTCACAGTGGGTCTGGCCCAGAGCAGAACCTCCTCAGCTGGTTGGCAAGTGCACCATAATGGGACCTGGGGTGGCAGAGCCCAGGGAGGCGCCAAGTCTCAGAGAGGCTTCCTGAAGGAGCAGGGCTGCCCCGTGGAACCCAAGGGTTAACTAGAACAATGGTGGTTTCACCAGGAAGAGGAAGCAATAGGGCACTTCCCAAGGCTGCTTTCTGTCTTCCTGGGGCCAGCCCTGAGGTTTGTGGCTCAAGACTGGGTCCACCCCCATTTCTGAGTGTCTGTGGAGTGAGGTTCTTTGAGCCTGGCCCCCAGGTGCTCAGACCCTTAGACCACACAGCTGTCTACACCTTCAGAATGGGAGCGTGATCTCTGTCCTGTGACCGCATGGCAGACCTGAGGCCTGAAGGAGTCTGAGGGTGGAGTTGTCTGGCAGCCGGTGTCCATTCCTGGCAGCCACCTGCTCCTCCCAACAGTGGTCATTTCTCGAGCACAGGGCACAGATGCCCATCGTAGCACGGGCCTCACTACTCTGTCATTGGGAAAAGCTGCTCCTCAGTCACCGTCGCTGGCCTGCTTTTCTCCCCTGTGATGGAGGACCTGTCCTTCCCTTGGCCATGTGACTGTTTGAGACTTCAGAGTGACCCCAGTGCCACCTGCCTGGACTGCTCTGGGTGGCCCACTCCAGGCCTCCCCTGGTCCCTCTGGCCCGGTCTTCTCTGGCCCATGGCATCCAGCCATGCCCCAGCGGGGCCCAGGCCTGTGTGGGTCTGACCAGGCCACCTGGAGGCTCATGGAAAGTCCTCACCTTGTGCTTTGTCTGTGATTCTCCAGCTCCAAGAAGCCCAAGAAACATCCCAAAGTGGCTGTGAAAGCCAAGCCCTCGCCCCGGCTCACCATCTTTGACGAGGAGATGGACCCCGACGAGGGGCTTTTTGGCCCAGGCACGAAGCTGTCCCCCCAGGGCCTCTCAGAGGACGCATCATCCATGGACTGTAAGTAGAGCCCCAGGGTGTGCTCCCTTTGCTCCTGGTGTCCTCTCTGTGCCCAGCCCCGTCACCAGGCAGGGTCTGGACTCACCCAGAGTGAATAGGACCCGTATCTCCCCTTTCCTGTCTAGACACGATATAGATTCAGCTTTGGAGGGAGCTCTCCTGCGGGAGGAATTGAGCCTCACACATGGTTCCCCACAGGATGGAACATTCCCAGGCCGTGGGTCTCTTACAAACTTCCCGCAGAAGAGGAGGATGGTTTTCTTCACTGCTTCGAGAAGTGCTTTTGTGACATCTGTGGGCAGATGTGGGCCCTAGGCTTGCAGGCACCATTTGTGTGAAAAGTGATAGGGCCTGCCTGGGGCATGTGTGTGACTGTAGGTTTGGATTTAATGGGATTCTGTGTCACCAGCACGGATTCCCTGGAGGGCTCTATGCAGAGTTGGCACAAGGAAAATCCAGCGGCCTTGGGCCATCTCCCCTCATCCCTGGGTCCCTTTCCTCACATGCCCAGGTTGTCCTCTGGTTGGGGGAATTGATGCCACCCACTAATTCAGTCCACACTTGGTGAGCCCTCACCCAGGGCCAGGCCTAAGAACATGCTGAGGAGTGAGACCCAGTCCCTAGCCTGAGGGCCAGAGTCCTGTGGGGAGACAGGTCATCACCTGACAGTTGCAGAAAAGCACGAGTCTATGACAGACTGAGCAGAAGCGCCAATTCCTGTGGGGCTCCCCTGAAGACCTCCTGGGGTAGGGCGGGGGCCCTCCTTGAGCTGGATCCTGGAAAGTCAGTGGAGTCTGCCAGGCTGGCTGAAGCAGGGGACCCCAGGTACAGTAGCTGTGATCGGCATTCTCCAAGGGCAGCCCCGATCAGTTCACATGCGAGGGGTGTGGGGAGGAGACCCAGGCTTCCTGAAGGCAGCAGCCACATGCCATAGCACCCCAGCAGAGAGAGTGGCCATGGCACCCCAGCAGAGAGAGAGAGCAGCCCCAGCCGGTGGGGGGTACTCAGCAAATGCTTGTTGAAGGCCAGGGGCAGTGAGCAGGCGCAGTAAGATCAGCTGGACTGGATGACAAGGTCCCTGGCACAGTGAGCCCAAGAGGCTGTAACCTCCTAAGAGCAGCAGGAAGCCCTTGAGGACGTCAAACTGGACTGATGCTGTCGGCCAGCTCTGGCCCAGGTGCCGGGCAGCAGAGGCCAAGGCAGACAGCTGTCCCAAGCCTCTGTGAGCTCCTGTCCTCACCCTCCTCCTGCCCCACCTGGCCCATTTCTCTGGTTTTCTCTTATCCCTTGCTCACTCTCTCCTGGGTGCCCCGGGAGGCTGGGCCAGGCCTTCTCCACCTTGGGTAGGTGAAGACAGGCCAGGACCTCCTCTGACCACCCTGCTGCCGCCTTCCCACAGCCCTGAAGCTGTTTGAAGATCCTGACCTCGGCGGGGCTGTCCCCCTGGGTGACTCCCTCCTGCTGCCGGCCGCCTGTGAGCGTGGAGGGCCCATGCCCAGCCTCGGCCACAGGAATGCCTCCGAGAAACTGTTCAGGTACCACCTGTCCCCAGTGGCGCTTGGCAGCTCTGAGAGTGTCCTGGACAGAGCCAAGGGCCTGGCTCCTGTAGGGCATTGACCAGCCTTGGCCCCAGCCTCCTCTGTGGGGAGGACCCCAGGGCTGTGGAAGGTAGAAACCCATGAGTGCACACTGGGTGAGAGGTGGTGAAGGGGGCTCGGGGGGAGGATCCACAGTCCAGGGCTGCTCAGCCAGTTCCTGAAAGAGAGAACTTTGTGTGCACAGCCAGTCTTTCTTTTCACAATCATATTTTAATGATTTATGTAAAGAATAATTACATAATTGCAAGAGCAGGTGTAACTGGCATAAGCAGGTTTGGGAACAAATGAAACTGACTCATGGCAGCATGCAGCCCACCCAGAGAGGAAGCAAAGTGCAGGTGTCCTGGTGATGGCCTCTGCCGGGAGGGTCCCATCAGAGGCTTTGACAGAAGCTGTCACATGGAGGTCAATTGGCAGGACCTGTGCAAGTGGCGGCTCCTATTTCCCAAGCCCTTACTGTGTACACAGTAAGCCAGACTCCTTACACACTCTCTTATGTAATCCTCACAACGGCCCCCTAAGGTAGATGCTATTTTCTCCATATTATAAGAAATCGAGTGTGGGAGGCCACCTGCGTAAGGCCACAGCTTTGCTCTGCCCCTGTCCTGGCCTCTCCACTTCATCAGGGACTATCTGAGCTCTCGGCTGGGTGATCCGCCTCCCCACCAGCCCCCCAGTTCTCCCCAGGCCTTTGCCTGCACTGGCCACATTCTCAGCAGGCTCAGTGTTGTGTGTATCTCCAGCTCCTCCTCCACGCTCCAGGACACAGGGCTGTGCCTGGGATTCACAGGAAGCCAGGCCGCCTCTTTCCAGGAGCCGCTCATGTGACACCAGCACGTGCAGGCCCTGAAGGCTGTCATCTGCACCCCTCATTAGCAGCCTCTGGCTATTACATAGCCCTCCAAGTGCCCACCAAGCCTGAGTCACCATGACGGCTTCTGGTATTTACATGTCCCCAAGGCCCCTGGCATCTGTTCACTCTCGTCCTGTGTCCTTGCTGCTGACATCCCGGTGGGCTGGGAGAAACCAGGATTGTTGTTATTTTGTTAGAGGGAAACCGAGGCACAGGGAAATGGAATAGTAGAGTCTGCCTGGGGAGCGGCAAGGCCAGACCAAGCATGTCTAGGAGTCCATGTGTCCAGTGGGGTGGCTCTCATGGGACCTTTCTGGCCTAGGTTATTCTAAATCCGTTACTTCCCAACCTGTGTTCTGCAGAACATGGCACCATGGGGTGGTAAAAGGCTACCTTCAAAGGGGTTCTGTGGCCTGCTGAGCTGGGGAAATGGCCACATGAAGCAGGGCTCCTGCGGGCTTGTGGTGCGCAGACCACACCCACAGCACTTCATGATCTTTTTTTTTTTTTTTTTTTTTTGAGACAGAGTCTCATTCTTATCCCCGAGGCTGGAGTATAGGGGTGAGAGCTTGGCCCACTGTAACCTCTGCCTCCCAGGTTCAAGCAATTCTCCTGCCTCAGCCTTCCAAGTAGCTGGGATTACAGGCGCCCACCACCACACCCAGATAATTTGTGTTTTTAGTAGAGATAGGGTTTTGCCATATTGACCAGGCTGGTCTTGAACTCCTGACCTTGTGATCAGCCTGCCTCAGCCTCCCAAAGTCTTCCTTATCCCTGGGCCCCTCTAGGGTGCCTTTCAGCTCTGGCAGAGCACTTTGGGAATCTCTGCTCAAAGAGTATGGGTCCCGCACCCCCACCTTCACTTTAGCAGACATCTGCTAATGAAAGGATTAGCTGCTTTTCTTCTTTTAAATTCAGACCAATTCTAAAAGAGCTATGTCACTAGGATTAGCTTCTTGAGAGCAGGAACCACATATATTCTTTTTGTCTGCCCTGTGACTATCCAGGGAGTAATCGGGCTTCCTCATAATGGAGAATGTTCTGATAGTCATTCATGTATTCCTGCTTTCACCCCTTTGTTCATTCTGTCACTCACCTTGGCCACCCTGAGGCAGCGTGGGGTGTACGCTGAGCAGGTGGAGGTTGAAAGGCCTTCGTTCCTTCTAGCCGTGCAGCCATACCAGACAAGGCCTCTAGTCTAGACCTTTAGGTGAGTCTTATCTTCGCAGGGACCCAGGGAGAAGGAGGGGGCCGGGGTGTTAGAGCTCCCTTACCCCTCACTGGTTGACCCCACACCAGCCTGGCCTGGAAGAGAAGGGAGCTGGACTTTACACCAGTGAGAGCTAGTCCTAGTCATGACTCAGAAATAGGGTGCTTGGAAAAGGGGTGCCTTGCAGCCACCTGTATCCCGAGAGCAGCTACGCCACCTCCCACCGTGGCTGACCACCCATGTACACCTCCCACCCGGGAGCAAGTCCAGCCACTGATTAGTTCCAAAGAGTCACTACTTTGCCCAGCAGGATAATTCTGAAGTCTGACATAAGCTTCTAGCAGCTGCTTTGTTTTCCAAAAGGCCTCTATTTGAGGATAATTCAGTCCCTTTGAGCTCTTCCCAGGTACCCTCAGCCTTCGGTAGAGGCTTCCTCATGCCAGTGGAGCTGGCACGTGCCCGGGGAGTCAAGGAAGGACCGCCACTCGGAGGGAGCTCTGGCACTTCTGATCTTAGGTGACCAGGAGCAGCCTGGCCATGAGTGACACCTCCTGAAATTGCCTCTACCCCAGGGCAGCTGATCTGTCTATGAAGGCCCAGCTTGGGCCAGTCCCTCTGGGTTTGTTCAAGAAGGACATCTTTTATTCATTTCTCTGCCATCCAAGCAGACTCTGAATTCTCTCTGGGGTTTGTGCCCTATCAGAGGAGGTCAACCCAGAAAGCAGGCAGGATGTTCAGCGCCTTCCACAGCTGGCTCCAGGCAGGCACCCACCCCTGGGGGTGCTGCGCTGGGCACCTCCATACTCACTCAGGCTCTGCCAGGCCTGGTAGTGCCAGGAGTTGTCCTGATCAGAGGCATCTCTCTATCCCTGCTCCTGCCTGGCCCTGCTGATGTCACCACCATCTGGATACACTGCCCAGGGCAGGAAGCCTCTGCTTGTGAGCCTGCCTGGTTCTTCTGTTCATTCTCATTCCCACCTCCACACCTCTGCTCTCTGCTCCCTTCTCCAGAACTCTCTCCCCTATTCATTCCAGGCTCACCCTTCTGAAAAGGCCCACCTTCTCAGGAAGCCTTCCCAGCTTGCTCTGGCCCAAGGGCTCACTCCCTTCTCTGGACTTCACCACCTTTCCAGGCCTTTGCAATTGCGTGGCCCCTGCCTGACCGGGGCTGGGGGTGCCCTGCATTGTGGATTGAGGTGCTGCTTTTCTGTGTCTTATTCCCGCTTGCTCAGCCCCTGGGGCTGTCAGTAGACCTCAGTACACGTAGGCTTCCTGTACGTTTGGAAACTACTTTCCTTGTGTTGTCTTATTTGATCCTTGTAAGAATCCCTGTGAGACCAGTAAAGCAAATATAATCCTACTTTATAGAAGAAGAGACTGAGGAGCAGGGAGGAGTGGCCTGAGCCACCTGATGGAGGAGTTGCAGGGTGAGGAGCGGAAGCCAGTTCTCCGCCCACAGTGCTGTGCTTCTGTGCACAGCTCCGTGCAACACTGCCAGCTGACACTGTTACTCCTGCTTGTAGATGAGGAAGCCGAAGCTTATAGAGGCCAAGTGGGCGCCAGGTCTTCCGCCTGCAGTGCCTCTGCCCTCCCTCACCTGGCTGCAGCATGGCTGAGCGACACACGCAGAGGTGCTCTCTAGGACAAGGGGAAGCCTCCCCCTGGCACTGGAGCCCGAGTGCCCCAGGCAGGTGAACACACACCAGAGAACCAGCCACATGCAGGCTGTGTGTGATCATCCTCACACTAGCTGCGGGTCTCAGGGCAAGGCCGCTCGCCTCTCTGCACCTCAGTTTTCACATCTGTAAAACAGGGCTAATCTCTGCCACCACACAGTGTTTGGAGATTATTAAATGGGTTAGTGAAATGTGGAAATCTCTGGCCCTCATGGGTGTTCAGCGCAGTGCTGTGGGTAGAATGGATTGAATGAGTCTTCCACTATACACCTGGTCTCCAGAAATCGGGAGAATCAGTGGCCTGGCCTTTTTCTGGCCATCAGTACCCAGGGATGATCCTGAGCAGCGGTAACACTGCCAGGGCTTTTTTCCTGCCCACCAGTGAGAGATCAGAGGTCTGGGGCCATGGCAGAGTCTTGATGGGCCCTGGCTGAGGCCATCCTCGGCTCTCGCTGGGCTCTGTCTAGCACCCACGTGGCCCACCAAGGGGCACTGTGGGTGGGCTGACCCTGCGCCACCATGGCTCAGCGCCCCTGGCAATTCTTTATCTGGTTGAACTTGCTTTGGATGAGGGCTCAGCTTCTGAGGGCCAATGTCCTGTTCCTTCCAACAAAGGCATTGTCACATGCTGTCCTCTTGGGGTCACTCAGCCTCCTGGGACTCCCGCGTCCTCGCCTGCAGGATGGAAACGCAGTCGTGCCTCCCCAGAGTGGTGTTTTGAGGATGAAATGTGATAACGTGTCTGAAGTGCTTGGCACACAGCAGGAACTCTGTACATAGTAGCTGGTGGTTATTTCTAAAGGGGTTGGAAGCCGGCATGTGTCAGGTGGGGTCACCTGAAGAGCAGCTCTCAGGAGGCTGCGCAGGGCCTGCCCTGTGCCTGCTTTGCTGTGAGTTGGAGGGAAGGAGAGCCCTGGCCTTCCGTGTCTCCTCTGGGCAGAATGGGTGGATGGGCCAGAGTGGGATGGGGTGGGGTGGGGGGTTGCCTAGATCCAGGCTGGGCTCCCTGCTGCTGCCCAGCCCTGTGTGGGCAGTGGCATTGCCTGGGGTCTTGTTCCTTTCTTGGGGTACAGTGTTATACTCAGGGTTCCTCCCTGTGGTTCCCTAGAGTTGAAGAGGACTTGGACCAGATTCTGAATCTGGAGGCTGAGTCCAAACCCAAGCCCAAGCCCAAACCACCAGTGGCAACTAAGCCGGC